TAGTAAGCAGCAGTAAGTAGTAGGAACTAGCAGTAAGTAGTAGTAAGTAGTAGTAAGTAGTAGTAAGTAGTAGTAAGTAGTAGTAGGTAGTAGTAAGTAGTAGTAAGTAGTAGTAAGTAGTAGTAAGTAGTAGTAAGCAGTAGTAAGTAGTAGTAAGTAGTAGTAAGTAGTCGTAAGTAGTAGTAAGTAGTACTAAGTAGTAGTAAGTAGTAGTAAGTAGTAGTCAGTAGTAGTAAGTAGTAGTGAGTAGTAGTGAGTAGTAGTAAGTAGTACGCAGTAGTAGTAGTAGACTTAGAACCCAAGCCTGAAGCATAATAGGGTTAAGTTTGGAGTTTAAGATTCAGGGTTTCGAGTTTAGGGTTTAGAGTCGTTGCCCATAGCTTGTTTCTTCCTAGCAGGCCATGAAGATGTACATCGAGCAGAGCCGGACACGGAGAAGAAGGAACCAGACAGGCCAACTCGACAGCGTGTGCTCTCTGAACAGGTCTTCCGGACTGATCGAACGACTTTGCTGCATCATAGATGTGTGGCCCAGCAGATAAAGTTTCCAATGACGAAGGTTTCCCACCCCCTTGTGGCTATGTTTTGAAAGTTTGAGCGTTCTTGACGCATGAGCTTTACAACTACGATGTTGCGTGATGATGCCATCTTCAGGCTTGAGCAGGCATTTCGGAGTTGCAGGTTTCGAAGCCTGAAGCGTCCTGAAGCGTTTGGCTAAGAAGGTTAGGGGATCGGATGAAGCTCCTGCAGTTTGAAAGGTTTTTTTTTCTCGATCTTAGGGCTTGAAGGGCTTGGGGCTTCAAGGGTCTAGGCTTTGGGGGCTTACGGTTTATTCGGGTTTTGGGCTTTCAAGTGTTTAGGGTTCGGTTTATTCGGGTTTTGGGCTTTCAAGGCTTTAGGGTTTTGGGGGGTTTACGGTTTATTCGGGTTTTGGGCTAAGCCAGAAGGCCTGAACTTCCAAATGCCTCACGTCTACTGAGCTCTGGAGTACCATACTTTAATACTTTTTTGGGGACCTGTTCCTTAAAGGAGCCATTATTAAATAAGAGTCTATACTTTTTTCTCCAAGGTTACTTCAAAGTCCAGTCTAAGCCAGTCGGCGCGCTCAGGGAAGAGGCGAACGAAATATGGACCCAGAATCGTAGGATCCACATTTTACGGCCCGAATCTCAACAGCCCCGAAACTCAATAGCTTTGGTTTGGGATGCAGAGGTCGGGGCCTTGACAGACCAGGTCCTTAAGAGAGGGTTTAGGGATTTAGGGTTCGGTCCGGGGTTGGGGCTTGGGAGTGTAGGGCCTTAGAGTTGCATAAGGATTTTAGGGGTTTAGGGTTTTGGGCGCTGGACGCTGCAAACGGGAAGCCTTGTGCCATGGCCTTGTATGGGTGAGTCCCGGACAGCAGTGCTTCATCTCGATGACATCAGAGCTTGCTTCTCGAATTTGAAGGGGCCCGTAGTGTCATTTAGTTCAACTCGGGTCGCCCAAACCCAGCTTTAGGGTTTAGGGTTTAGGGTTTAATATCTCCGACAGCCTTTGCCCAAATTGAGGGTCCTGCGTGGTTGCAAAAGACTTGGGGGCGGGGGGAGAGGGGTGGGGTCTGGAGTGGAGTTTCTATGGAGTGACCCAGCATATCGAGCAGAGGGGCCCGACCAAGCAAGCCGACGACCCGAAATCCCAAATCATGAAACGGAGGTCGGTCGCGCTACCACGACCCGCCAGGCTCACAGTCAAGCCAGGTGTTGCCAAAGATGTGGCAGTGGTAGCGCAGTAGTGGCAGTGGTAGGAGTAATAGCATTAGTAGCATTAGTAGCAGTAGCCGTAGCCATAGCAACAGCAGTACTAGTAGTAGTAG